AATTTGAAGATTTTCTGCATTTTAGGTCCAATATTAAAAATAAAATTAATTAATTTTTTATTCGAAAAAATTATTTTTACGACAAAGTTTGAGAAATTTCTTTTAATTTTTAGAACTAAGGTGAAGAAAAGTTAAAGATCGGGTGACTTGAATGCGCAGTAGAAGTCTCTTGGGGTGAATTCAAATATCACGAATTTCCATTAAAACTATCTTTTTATCTTTAAAAAACTTCAAATATTGATAAAATACACACTATGTTCTACAAATACTCGTGTGGCATTGATGTTGAAGCAAATTATTTTTTTTTTTATGGAATTTAGAATAGTATTCCAAGATAATAATTAATATGTTTTATCAATTCAAGCAAGCCATAAAGACAGATCGAAAACGACCAAGACATTCAAAAACAGGTTGTTGTTTATTAATGTTGAACGACATTTTGTGTTTCAGTTGTTGACCTAGGAAAGAATTCAGGTATTTCTTTTTTCCTTTTTTATTAACTCCTCCATTAATTTATCGCCACTCTTCCTAATGATTTCCTTTTTCAATGCTATAGAACTTATTTTCTTGATGGTCCGATTTGGGCTCTGGTTTATATCTTTATTTTTAATATAATATTTAATTGCAGTATGGTTTATCTAGTTGAAAACTGATGCACTGTAAAACCAACTAATAAATGGAATATATTCATATAAATCTTACAATATATAGGCAATGAGAAATTCCGTCTATCGAGGTTTGAGTGTTATTTCCACAAAATATGTTCCATTTTATATCTTTAACCTAATAACTGAGCAGTACCAATTTTATATTATATTAATTACATTATAACTTTTTTCCCCATTTTTCAATTCATTAAGGAATAAAAGTTAGTTCATTATAAATCTTTGATACAAATTTTATTTAATTATTTATTGGAAGGGAGATTTTTTAAATTAAATTAAAAAAAAAGTAATTACAGAAAAAATTATCCTTTTAGAAGTAATTTCTTATACATACTTTTGGCATGTATCTACATTTAGTAGCTTAATTTAATAAATTTACCTAATAATGTAGCTTAATTTAATAAATGTACCTAATAACGTAGCTTAATCGACAAGTAATATAATTTAAAAAGAGAATGTATTGTGATCGTTTTATTATTTATCTTAGATTACTGAAATAAACAAATATGAACCAATGGAAAAAAAATATCTATTTCAAAGGTGTTTCAGCCGGATTTTTTCGATTTTTTTTTATTTTTTCACCTATAACTCCTAAATGTTGCATCGAATCGAAAAACATGCTCTTTATGAAATTAAAGAACATTAAATTATGCGTCGAATGAGTACATAAACTTTATAATTTGGTTTAGTGGATGGTCGATAGCCACCGTTAACCAACGCTGATTTTTACCAAATTCGTCAAAAACTGACACAAATTACTATAAATGACGCAGCTTGGAAATGAGTTCTCTAAGAGAAAAACCTCATAGAATAAAAGTTGCATAGTATCAAATTCCGGGATTGTTTGATTCGACCTCTACTAATCGACATTATCGAGGATTCTCAACTTAATATGTTTACTTTCTAGGCTTCGTCTATTGCATATTTAGCCAATATTTTTTTTTTCATATTATTTTGGTTTCCCCCCTTTTTATTTATTTTTTGAGAGTTAATTTTTCGGATCTAAGTTTTGAAAATATTTTATTTTTGTATAATGGCGTTTATTTTAGTGTTGGAAACTATTAACTATTATTGTAAAATCCAGCTCATTACATAAAAATTATTTGATTATCACATACCATGAGATTATTTATCGCACAGATATAAATGAGAAATACCGGGAGTTCTTGCAAATATCATCAGGAAATGTGGAAAACACCTCATTTAAAAAAATTAATAATATATTTGTATATAACATGAAGAGGATTGGCCATTGAATGTTATTATATCGAATCCGCTTAGCTTGTAGCAAACTTCTTATAACTTATTACATTATATGTGGAATGGTAGGTTCTATAATTTCTTAAAAGTAATTAATTAATATTGTAACGAACCGCAAATCGCTATGATTTAAAATTGTTCGTATTTACTTCGAGGAAACAAATTATAGATAATCTATTAGATGAAAATAGAAATAAAACTGACATTCGGTGTGATAATGCGGGTATTATAAGAGAAAAATATCACAAGCCAGACCAGTTTTTTTTGTTTTCCCCGTCAAGAATAAACTTGCAGCATTCTGTGAAAATAACTCACGTCTTGACGGAGTTGGTATCCATTAATGGGGCTTGGATCCGGTTCGGACTGATGGGCTGTAGTTGAATAAACTTACTCAAGTGCACCACCATTCAGACGTGAAAAGTCCGAGCTCGAGAAATAATCGAATTTTAGAGGGTAGTATTTGCTTGAATCAGAAGTGTGCAAAGGTTTATCTTTGTATCAGACGGGTCTATGGCAAGTATCATCAAGTAAGCTTATCTATGTGGAGCTGCTAACTTATAATATTAAACAAAAAAAACAACACAAATATGGCAAAGTTTGTAAATTCCAGCTGGATATTTAGTTGACATTGAAGAACTGTTATACTGTTTACATGTTCGTGATTATTGAAACAAATAACTCGTAATTTAATTAATCTTTACAGATTTGTTTTAGCTTATTTATATTGTTCTTGTTTGTGTATTTATTATCCAATAGCATTGTGATCTGTATAGATGTATAGATAAAATCAGTTTATGAAAACAAAGTTAGAAATTATTAGAATTTATATTATTAGATTATATTAGATTGAGTTAGATTATAATTATTAGAAGTTAGAAATTCTTACTATAGTCATGAAGATGTAAACAATATAACAGTCGCTAAATGTCAACTAAATATCCAGCTGAAATTTACATTTCCCCCTGAAATTTGCTGCTGTGAAAGGAATTTAATACTTTTTTCTTTTATCCAAAATCAACTTCATGTATATGTTTATGTGTTTATTTTTTTTATTTATTTTTTTTTGTTTTGTTTATTGAGAAATAATACATTTTGCCACACTTAAGGGCACTGAGTACTAAGGCTGAGTGAGGCACATTCATACCATATATACAATACAATAAAAACAAATAAATAAATTTAAAAATATATACATCTATATAACAAAGGCAAAAACTATAATAAACCAAGGAAATGTAACTTAGAGTTAAAATTAAATAAAATATAGAAATTCGTATCAAAATTAAATAAATTATAAATAAAAGAAATAAATAGAAAAACATTCATACTTAAATACAATATTTACAATCAGGCAAGAAATCTCCGAGTCGTGTGAAGGACAAAGCGAGACTCTAAGAGATCCCAGGGCTTCTCTCTCAACCGCGTCGCCGGCATTACCAGTCCGGTGGAGCCTGAGAGAGTGTTGTGTTTATTATGAATAGCGTTGTAATCATTACAAATAAATCAATTATCAAAACCAAGTTAGACGTTTCACGGACTATCATCCCCAATTCCGAATGTTATGATTTATTTTTAGCTGTATAGAGCAAATTTACCCTCCTTGAATAAGGTCCAAATCATAATCACGGTATGATAAATATTTATAGAAAAAGAAAGATTTATTATACGACTGAAAATAATTCGAAAATATAATTAACATTTTAGTTGATTCGTTTTTTATATATATTTCGTTTTTTACATTCATTATATTTTTCTAGACTACATTTGGAATTAATTTCGAATTAAAATCCACAAATTTTAACTCAAAATTATGTTATTGCATGGATATAAATAAACAATTATACAATTATAAATAATTAAACAATTATAAATAAACAATTATAGTGTCCGTAAGTAAAGGGAATTATATAAAAAAGGAGATAATCTCAAAAGCTACATAACTATTTGGAGCTATTAAGTGTTTTGTTGTGTATTCAGTTAACTATCTATCTATGATCGAATATTAATTTATTTTTCCATTATTTAGAGGGTTTCTATAATATCTACAAAAGTGCATTTATATTGTTGGTGCTATTTGATATTAAAGCTAAGCCGCATGTATAATAAGCAGTCATAATTTCAATAAATTATAAAAAGTAAACCTAGCTCTTAATATATTAGAAAAATTGCGGATCAAATATAAAATAATTTTATTTTTGTTTTTTATTTAGAAATATAATAATCTATCACGTGAACAATAATTATAGTGAGATACGAGGTAAAAATATAAAATTAACAAAAGTAAAATAATAATTTAAAAAAATATGTACAATAAAAAATAAAGTAACCTAAAGATATCTCTGGTCTCCCTTCAAACGAATAAATCTTTCGCCTTTTACTAAAATAAATTATTTAGTTTGTGTTAAACTTTATTATTTAATATATGAAATAAACTCGAAAACTATAATTAAAACTTGGCCCATAAATTATGATTTAGTTTAATTGGATCCGGTATTCGTGTTGTAACGAATGAATCTTTCGCCTTTTACTAAAATAAATTAAATAAATTATTTAGTTTGTGTTAAACTTTATTATTTAATATATGAAATAAACTAGAAAACTATAATTAAAACTTGGCCCATAAATTATGATCCAGTTTAATTGGATCCGGTATTCGTGTTGTTCTGGTTTCGTATCTTATTACACAATGAATTATTTCAGTAACGAGATCCATTCATCATGAGGATCTTATTCTCCATATTCTCATTCGTAGTTAAGGTATAACTGGAATATCTTTTCTGGGTCATCGAAATACTATTTCAGAGGCGGTAATTAAAGGAGCATATCTGGAGTTGTTGACAATAGAGAAACATTCAGTCAGCCATTCCTAGGTCTTCTCACGACCCCATTAGTCAATATATATCCGCTTGTTATCAATATAGAGGTTTTTTTTATTTATGTTAGGCGTCGAAAGTTTCGACCTCTAGGACAAAGAGGTTCCAAATCATGTCAGATTAAATCAGTTAATAGATAAACCATCAATCAAATGACGATTTCTACGGCTAGAAACAATATTGACCAGTTGTCCTGTTGCAGGTGGTAGACGTGGATCGGATCTTAAACAACAATAGGATCATCAACAAGTATATCAAATGTATACTGAGGCAAGGAGTATGTCCACCGGAAGCGAGAGACTTTCGACGTGAGTATTTAGCAAGTAAATTTCATTAGTAATAAGTATGTTTATACCACTCAAATGACTCAAGCATATGACAAATATGCAATGAATCGACTATATGACTAGACATTCTGACATGACTGACATGCAACTATACTTTAGTTCAAAATCATAACCAATTAATTACACATTGCATCAATGCTTTATTCCGGACTGGTGGGATGAGGAATCGTTAACATTTTTTTTACTATACATTCATTCTAGATGAATCATTGGTTTCAAGAACTTGATGATTAATGTATTCATAAAAAGTTGGATAGCATTCAACTTCTTTCATCGTTTATCTTTGATATACACTTTATATATATATATATATATATATATATATATAGGGGAATGCTAATGTACACATCACTTTAGATGACCCTTCCCTCAACATTGGTTTAAAAAAAAAGAATGATAATTTCCTAGCAAAAATATACATTTTTTTTTTAATCAAACGAGAACCTATTGTTTTTTAAAATGGTAAAATTTGGGCATCTCAAAATAACAGGGAGATAGGATATTATTTTGAGTTCCGTTTAATATATATATATAAAGGAATGCCAACGTACACATCACTTTAGATGACCCTTCCCTCAACAGTGGTTTAAAAAAAAAATGAATGATAATTTCCTTGCAAAAATATAGATTTTTTTTTTAATCAAATGAGAACCTATTGTTTTTTGTTTTTTTATTTGCTTATTTAGGAATATTACATTCTGTCACAATCAAGAACATTTATAATAGTGTTCAGAGAGCACAGTTTGTTTTTTAAAATAGTAAAATTTAGGCAACTCAAAATAACAGGGAGATGAGATATTATTTTGAGTTCAGTTTAAAATGGTGTGATTCCTAGTAGTTGACTTCTGGTCATTATGGGTTATAATGATAGCATTTTGTTTGAAATAAATTAAAACGTAAACGTAATTTTATTTCAGAATTTTCGAGCTCTATGTGATCAGTAGAATTCAATACTTCAAGTATTCATAGGTTGTGTTAATACTGTTCCAGCCAACGTTATCTGTCGTTTTTAAGTTTCGAAAACAAGTCATAAGACGACAATAACAGAATTGATAGAATTAAAGAAAAAAACAACAACACTTTAATCAATAAAGGAAAACAATTGAAAATTATTAAAGAAACTTTTTATTTTAAAACCAGGAAGGATAGATATAAATTGTCTTATCCTGTAATAACAATCTTTGTAAATGATTTGCAATCTAATAAAAATAGATTATTACAACTTAATATCACCTACGAGTTGATACATCATAATATACCCTATTATTCATCATAATTATAAAAAAATTTAATGATTTTTATGGTACTATCAATTCATTTATTTTTGATGATCATCTATGTCTTGTTTCTATTAACATCGTAAAACTAAGCCTTAAAACTTAGTTATATTTACACTAGCGAATATTTATATTTTATCGTAAACCTAAAACTTTTTATTCACGAAAATTCTAGGAAAAGAGGCACTTTGAACCTGGAGATCGGTAAAATTTAATTAGATACTAAAAACTCATGAATGACCATATTTTTTCCACTTGTAAGATAGTAAGATGATTTTATCTCCCCAAAAAAATGGTGGCCTACGAAAATATTGAGACATTTACTATTCACAATGGTTAATTCATTCACATCACCTCACTGATGTGTCTATAATAAATACAAATAATTATACATTCCAATTAGTATCAATCCGTTGGGTGAAAAATTACATTAATTAGTGGAAAGGAAGAAATCTTGACCTTCGACTGAAGCGGAAACTTGACACAAGCTAAGTCTTGCAACCGACCTGACATTCCACTTTTTTTGGGCGATGATGTAAAGCAGTAGAAAACAATCTTCAACGTGTTTAACTATTTAAATAAATAAATAAATAAATAAATAAATAAATAAATAAATATATATATATATATATATATATATATATATATATATTATATATATATATATATATATATATATATATATATATATATACCGGGTGCCTCAGTTCTTAATGGCCATAGTCTGAGAGGTGACTATAGAAAAAATTTCCAGCAAAAACTTTCATTGGATGTATGGATCGATTTCGAACGGAAATGAAGTTAAGTCGAATTTTGCCTTTTCTTAAGGCGATCACGTTTTCTCTTTTATAGGGAGCGATAACACGTAAAGTATTTAATTCCGATAATTAAAAATTGCTCCAATGCAAACTAAACGAAATTTACTTCAAATACGAGTAGAGTTTGTCTTTTTAAAAATCACTTAAAGAGGACTTTTGAAGTGCCGAACTACGTTAAGTTGTTTTATTTTTTTCATTAAATCATGGATTCTTTGTAATTGTTTTTCATTATCGCTTTAGATAATAAATTTTTGAAAATACAGTATTTTTTTAACATATTTTTCAAATGAATAAAAAGTGTATTTTCATGATTGATTTACTTAAATAGATGCCAAGTCAAAAGAAAAAAAAGGAATTCAAAGTTTGTAATAATTTCTCGGTTGTTATTTTTACTGAAACTAAAGATGCTCTGGAAAAACGGAATTTCAAATCATATAATTTTTCACACAAATAGAAGTGAATTTAAAAGAAACTTCAAATAAATTTATATGCAATTAAAGCTTCTTAAACAAGGAAGTTTTTGTAAAAGTGGGGTATTTGAAGTTGTAGGATGATAAAAAAAAAAACATCGCGAATAATCAATGATTTAATGAAAAACACAACTTAGTTTGGCCGCTCAAATATCCCATTTCAATGGTTTTGACAAAGACAAGCTATATGTATTTGAAGGAATTTTTATCTAGTTTACTTTGAAGCACTTTTTAATTACCTGAATTAATTACTATTGATAGTGTATCGATACTATGGATGGGTGATGGTCGATATCACTATGAACTAGATATTGTTGGAGCTTTCGACAATGCATGGATCCCAACTATATTAGAAAACCGAAGAAAATATAATTGCCCAAAAAATATCTTTTTATTGATTTCAATTTTTTTGAAGGCAGGACGATTGAAATTAGGACAAATAACTAAACATTTGAAAACACCTAACAACCAGTATATTTGTCAAGACTCATGTCTTTCTTCTACACTCAGGAACGTCCTTCTCAATACAATTTTCAATTTAAAATTGGCTGACCGGGCACACATCTTAGCTTATGCCAACGATATCCTTCTTCTAGTAAAAAGACAAGCTATTACAAAAGTTCTGACCAAGAAATCTCTTAACATATATATATATATATATATATATATATATATATATATATATATATATATATATATAAACCTGTACCACTACAACCCATGAAGGGTCTGGGGTTCAGTACTATTCAGGGAAAGCACTATTCCTAGGTCAACGGTTGTGCAAGGAGGTGATTTGACCGATGTAACGCTCAGCCGCCAGGTTTTCCCACTTAATTAATTTTTTAAATTAAGGGTACCCACTTTATAGAGGCTGGATGTGCCACAGGAGGGTCTTCTGACCCAGAGTCGTCCCACGGCCAATGAAACAGATAAATAAATTTTCTGTCATGAGCCGAGGTTCGAACCTGGGACCTTTAGCATATTTTCAAGATTGTAATTTGTTAAATTTAACTTGGTAATATTACTTTAAAATATAATAAAACTCGCGTCATTTCATATTTAAAGAATATATATATAAATAAAAAGTTTTTTTTTAATCAAAACAACGGCAGGTTTTTTAAAAGTATTTCTGAGAAAATAATGTGAGATTGTATTTTTTTTCATCTTAAAGGCTTCTTCTTGTTATTTTTTTTTTTTTTAATTTTATATATTGATAGAAATATTTTTAATAACACATCTGCATTATTCTATCCATTTATTTTCTTAATGTGACATTTCTGGACAGTTTTCTATCATCAAACATTTCAATTTTACATTGATATATCATTACTGTATCTCGCGAATCAGTAAATGTGTAATATAAAATTAAAAATTAATTTGTATTTAAGTTGATGATATAAACAATTGATAGGGGTATCTATATTAATATCTACTATCGCACTTCCCTATCCGTTACTCTAACTGTTGCTTTTGGGTAGGAATCAGTATAGTATTAAGTGAGTTTAATTCTTTCATGGCTCCATTTACTTTCCTAATACCTAGATATGGTATTATTTTTATTTGTTATCTGGAAACGAACAAGCAACTAGAGTTCACTTTCCAAGCAGTGTGGCTGATTGCGGTTCTTGGCCATTTACGTCTTCAGGACGCGTTGAATCGGAAAAGTCTGTAATAAGATCGTTTTATTATTCAATTTTCTCTGAGAATCTTTAGAAATATTTCTTTTCATAAAAAAATGTAGGTATAAGTGCGTTGAAGAAGAACTGGAAGATGTTACGAAGGATGATGTTTCATTTAGTTCTAAAAATAAAAAGATGGGTGTGCAAGTGTATGAAACGCACCGTATATATATATATATATATATATATATATATATATATATATATATATATATATATATATATATATCAGAGGTTATAGGATTTATTTAACAATTCAAAACTATACAGTTAAGACAAGCATGTGTAAAAAAATCGCCGTGGTTGTCAACCTTTGCATAAAGTATAACTTATAAGCTTTAATAATTCTTATGTTATATTTAATTTTTGTGTAAAAATATAGGAAAATGATTAGACGGCTTTTTGTCCCTCACATCATGAAACAACGTTTCAATGGTAACTTGTTGGTAATAGAAATTAGTTAATAACTCATACTAATATCAACAATAAATTTCGATTTATAAAAATGGCGGTGAATAAATTTTGTAGTCATTATTTTTTTTTTATTTATATTTTATTTATTTATTGAATTATATAACATCCTGTCACTTGCACACTTATCGCTAGCGGATCAAGGATTTAATTTGGAGGGGGGGGAGCTTCGGCCCGAAAGATTTTTTTTTTCAAATATATAATGATAGTTAATTTGAAAAAAAAGAAAGAAAGAAATTAACTACC